GATATCACCTTCGTTATTTTAAATAGCAGCATAAAACCTAAAATTTCCCGTAGAATCCAAAAATATAATAAAATATAAGGGCTGGTATTTAAAATAACGAAGTTGGTATCTGCTTCCGGTATTTCCGGAAGTGCCACCATTTTAATAATATTTTACATCGATTCGGCATTCATAGTAACCGTTGATTGAAAACTATTTTTCAATCAACGTAGTAACCCTTAGGTACAAATTTTCATAAAACTACCTATTAAACTTTCCCAGAAATTTCTAACGAAAGTGTAAAAAAATAAATAATCAAAATAATGTAACTTACCTTCAGAATACTTTTGTGGCACTGCATTTTTTCTTAAAATTTTTCTCTTTTGTAATGTGATAATATGTTCTGGCAAAAAATGCTTTTCGCACAAAATCTTGTTGCACAATTCGGAATTGTCTAGGTTCCAAATGTTAATGTTTCCACAATTTTTTTTCCACTCATTAACAATTGCATTATTTTTTATAGGGAATTTAAAGAAACTAAAGTGTTTGCCTTTTTCCTTCTTTTCTTTGCAATTTTGGTAAGAACAAATATATGTTTTAACTGTCTTAGGAGGCATATTTTATATTTTTTATGTCACGAGAGAAACTGAATTTATGATGAACTTTACACCGACACGTCAAGAGCCGATCAGTATACAAATACGCGACCGGGGTAATGCGAAAAAAGCTTCATAAGCTAATCAAAGTGTTACGTGCGTGGTGTACTTTTCGCAGTCGGGAACTAAATAAAATAGCGCCATGGTTAAGTACCTACCTACCCTACCTTTCAATCAACGTTACATTTTGATAATCTTCTGAAATAAATGATAACAACACACGAATAAGTGTTATCGAGCTTTGGAAACATCGACCCTTAAAGAAATAATCAAAATTACATTTTACAAATGCGATCTACTGTAGGTTGCAAAAACCTTTGAAGGTGAATAAAAAGATAACGGTGTGGCCAATTTTAATGAAATTGATATCAAATTAAATTGTTTAATTTTGCGTTATTTTGGCCGAAGAAATATTTTTATGCATTAATTTAAATGACCGTTTTAGGGCGCTAACCATAAAAACTACACCTCCAAAGTCACCGTTTGCACCGCAAACTGCAAAAAACGGGTAGTTTTTATGGTTAGCGCCCTAAAACGGCCATTTAAATTAACACATAAAAATATTTCTTAGACCGAAGCAACGAAAAATTAAACAAGCTTTAATTTGATACCAATTTCATTAAAATTGGCCACACCGTTATCTTTTTATTCACCTTCAAACTCCAGTTTACATAGCTTTGCAACCGCCTGCCAGCAAGTGCGTTATTTCCTGCGCACTAGACGATGTGTCGCTCACGGAACCTAATGAGCGACTGAATTCTTGGGAAATTATTGCAAGTGCGACCACGTATATCCATCTATCCGCTGGGAAATATTGCGGCATAAAACCGCTTACGAGGTTGCGTATCTTCCCACTATTTTTCAATCAACGCCCAGTATTCATTATCTAGAATGTGCTGGTATCGTACGGCAAGTAACAAAACGTGATTAAAGGAAACTCTTCAACATTTTTTAATTCATACAATATAGCCGAGATACTCACTTCAAAATGAGTAGAGAGGTGAGAGAGAATGTTTTGACTACGGTGACATCATGCCATTGATAAACTTACGCACGTCGGTAACTGGATACCTTTGATACAACGATCGTCTAAATATAGTTTTCAGATGAATATCCGACTTAATGTTTTAACAAGTTATAAGTTCTTAATTCAATAATAACAGCGTTGTTGCAGAACGTAAAAAGTCAATTATTGGATACAAGATAATTAGACAACAATATGCTATGATAATATGATAAAGGGTCCGTTCACTTAGCCAAAAATGAACTAATTTTTTTTACGTATTGTGCCTCAATAATCATTTGTGCTCAATAGTGCATTTATGCGCACCGTTTGTGCCTTTTTGGTTTTGGAGATAATAGGACAAATCAAATGGGGGCAACTTAAATCGTTATTTTACATACGAAATTAGATCATTCACTATAGTAGTAGGCGAGAGACGCTTTGTAACCCCAAGGCCCATTCTCCAAACGAGTACCTATAACTTTTGTTTGAAAAGTTATTTTAAAATTTTGTTCCTTAACTCATCCAGTATGTACACAACCAATTTCGTGGAATTCTCTCCATTATCGTTGTCCGGCCAAGAATTGCAGTGGAACCTTTTTTTCGAATTTTCAAAAACTAATTCCAGATTCGTGATTTTTATGTTCAAAAACCGCCAGGCACCAAATTTCGTCGAAGCAGGGGTGCGCCCTTCCGTGATAGGAAATTTGAAATTTTTTTTCAAAATCGGAAAGGGCATACCCGAAAACCTAATTAAAAACGTGTCACTTATCATTGTAACTGTTGTGTAGTGATTGTTTCAGGTACGGTGAAAATTTTTTTGCGGTTTTAGGTCACTAAGTAGGTCTATTTTAAGAATCCGCCCAAAAATGTCTGCAAAAAATACAAAAATTAAATTTTTTAAAAATATGGGCATGTAGCACATCGATTTTAGAGTTTTGAAGTTTTCTGAATTTAAATTTTTAGTAAAAAATGTTTTTGGGGGCGTTTTGGAGGAGTGGGGGGTGTTTTTAAGGGGTGGGTTTTTATATTTTTTCAATATTAACGTGTCGTACATCGATTTATATGTTTTTTATGGATAAGGATCCCGAATTCCACATCAAAATGGAGGTACAGCAAGTTATTCACTGTTAAAAAAGTAGAACGACGCCGACAGACGGCCCGAAAATAACATAAAACGCGCGGTACGCCTCGCCCGCGCTGCACGACATCATTTTAATAAAAAGATAATCATTTTGACGCTATCTTGTATATCTTTCTAGGATTTATTCAAAAATCATACTTTGACATCAAAATTGTAATCTCCACCCCAAGAAACCTATAAAAAGACGTATTGCACTTGTTATAATTATTATCTTTTTATTAAAATGATGTCGTGCAGCGCGGGCGAGGCGTACCGTGCCTTTTATGTTATTTTCGGGCCGTCTGTCGGTGTCGTTCTACTTTTTTAACATTGAATAACTTGCTGTACCTCCATTTTGATATGGAATTCGGGATCCTTATCCATAAAAACATATAAATCGATGTACGACACGTTAATATTGAAAAAATATAAAAACCAACCCCTTAAAAACACCACCCCAATCCGCCAAAACACCCCCAAAAATATTTTTAACTAAAAATTTAAATTCAGAAGGCTTAAAAACCCTAAAATCGACGTGTTATATGCCCATATTTTTTAAAACTTTAATTTTTGTATTTTTTTGGCCGCCATCTTGAATTTCTCAAAATGCTCAAGGGTGTCAAGGTGGCATTCTCAAAGTAGACATCCTTACGAACAAAAACCGTCAAAAAATCTTCACTGTACCTCACTTCCAGGTTAAGCCAAAAATCCCAGTTTGGCATCCAGACTATTAGGGAAGCGATTGAAGAATGAAAGGACACGGTTCATTTTTGGGCTAATGGGGGGCTAAGTGAACGGACCCTATGATGTATGTTCTCTTGATTTATTTTTTGACGGTAAAAAACATTCCATTGAATGCGATTGACGACTGCGTCTTTTCTCTTGCTATGGAAATTCATAATAGCTTTGAAATTTCTTATTCGATCCGTAAACTCGAGAACTTAAGAGGCCGTTCTCTGCATACGACTAGGAAAGCGCTTCAATAGAAATTATATGGGTCGAATAGCGTGTCTAGGTGTGGGACTTAGTATAACATTTTGAGTAAATTGGATTCTATACCGTGTTGTTACGTTGTTAGGTGCCGATGTAAAGATAAAGGACACATCTATGCCTCTATTGTAACAGATTTTTGATTTAATACTCGAATTTTGCATAAATAATTGTAGAAGTACTTGATATTTATGGTATTTTCAGGTGCCGTAATTATTAATATTTAAAAAATATCAAAAATATGTTGCAAGAGAGACGTAGAAAAAGGTTTAGTAGCAAACGTGCCGGCATGGCGTTTTCGAGTCTTCGTTTCGTAAAAGTGCAATACAATTTCTTTCATGAAGCCGATTTAAAAAACCTTTCGTTTCACATCATAATAGATTATATTGCACTTCTCTCATTTGAATTTTAAAGTTGTTCTTTAAAGTAGTACTTAATTCCAAATTTTGTCTCAAAAACATGTTATTTGTGCATTTATATACGGAAACAGCAATTAAACAATATCTGTAAATGCTCGCCCAACTGAGACTGACAGTATTGCATATTCTGAAATATCCCAAAACATTGTCTATAGGTACAATAATAGTAAAGTTTAATTTCGATCTTAAAGTCTACATAAGGTAAGATCGTTGGAATCAAGATTTACTTGTAAGTTGATAACTTTGACGTCATTTCCTAAAGAGGTGTGCAAATAATAACATGTATTACGTAAGCATAAGTTTGTAAATACAGAGATAATATTGCAATACGATCTTCACCTGCTGTTATAACTCCCACGCAGTCTACGAGATAAGTACGCGACAGTAGCGTCATCTAAAGAAATCTAATCACTTTGATTCAGTTGAGTAGGTGGTATAAAACCTCGATTAAAATTTAGTTACTTTTAATAAGCGGAGTTTGTCCCAGAGGGCAACCTACGGAGAAACTCCGTTAAAGTGGACCCTTCAAAAAGCATTGCGTTGTCTTTCTATTCAGATTTATTATTCAATGATATCAGTCACTATACACAGCGGTCCAATAAAGCCAATCTATATAAATAAAAATGAATGTTTGTATGTCACTTATGCCTTCTTAAACGGTTCATCTGATTGCAATGAAACTTTGAATTAAACCCGCACAGGATTCTGATTTAGTAATAAATAATAGTATAAGCTATACTGAAGAGAATATCTTCAAATATCTACAGGATCTCCTTGGATATCCATTGAAATCTTTAAATATGTGGGGACATCCTCGAATATCTACTACCGTGCACCCTGGAAATCTACTGTGATTTCCCCCTTGGTTGACTTATCAATCGCAAGTTGTCAAAATACCAACCTCCAAAGTAAGAACCAGTAGGTGTACACAACCTCCATTTACTTTGATACATTCCAGGTACAGCAGGGCTAGTCATACGAAGATTAAGAAATGTTCCGGCACCAGGTTGAAGACAGGGTACTTGAACCGGTTCTGCTCCTAAACTGACGCCAGAGGCACATCTTAGATGACAACCTAAGGGCCACACTTCCGCTCCATTATTTAATACATGCCAAACTTTTCTGAAGCTGAAATACAATAGAAAATTCCAAGAACTCTCTTATTTTGTTCGTGATCTTACCTCACACATGGTTCAACACTTTCACTCTCATTAGCCACGGGATCAGATACTAGCGCCATAGAAGGTAGTTTTGCCGGAGATTCGATATCAAAATAAGAACAAACTGCGGCCTGTAAATTCCTAAAAGGATACACATTAACTAAGGCACATTATGAGAAATTTAAAACTACCAATTATTCATATCTAAAAAAAATGCCGCTGTTGAGTGGTTCATTTGGCTCCCTAAGAGTTTTTGTAATTGTTGCACAAGCTCTTCTTTATCTGTAGTGCCCATACAACTAAATTGTTGTAATAAGGACTGTTCTATTTCTAAACTTCCAGGCCCTTCAGATTGACTGTTATCCACGTCCATTTTAATATAGTTTGTCCTAAAAAGTATACTTGATTTGTTGATAACTGATCAGTTTGATAATCACCTTTGGTTCAATAGTAAAATCACAACAAATTAATGCATGTCTGTAATTAATGAGCTAAAAGTAAATATTTTCAATGTCAGATTAACCTATATTTTACAATTTGATTGACCTTCCTCTAGTTTACATCAAAACTACCAGTAGGAATTTCAAAAATGGTACAAATAAAATTTCATTTTGAAAAATTGTTACAAATGATTAAAATTTGATCTACAACACAAAGAGATACTTTGTATTTAGTAACCAAAAATTGACAGACGTACCTAATCAACCGTAGTGAAGGTAGCAGCCAGAAAGTAGCAGCCGAATTAATATGTGGCAACAGTGTGTAGTCACTGCAAACAGGCCACTCCCCTGAAAACCACGCCCTATTTTGAATAGAAACTATTAAATCGGCTGCTTACTTTTTGGCTGCTAGCTTCACTACATCCCTAAAGTGTAGAAATTCAAATAAATCGGCTGTCAGATTCACTATATTCCTATATATATAGTACCTACAAATTCCTATCAAAATGGCCCTAAAGGTACAGGAGCGACTTATTATACGAAAACACCTATTCGAAATTGCTCTCAAAACGGCCTTAAACGAGAGTGTTACGCGATGCAATTGATACACAATTTTGATAATGTAATGCCCTTTTAGAAAAAACAAAAAAATTGGAAAGTCTATGTCGGGAAGGTGTTTAAAAATGGCCCTAAAGGTACAGGAGCGACTTATTATACGAAAACACCTATTCGAAATTGCTCTCAAAACGGCCTTAATCGAGAGTGTTACGCGATGCAATTGATACACAATTTTGATATCTATAATTTATTTATAATGATCTTTGCATTAGTGTGATTAGTGGATAAAATTAGCAATTATTAACATGTTCGAATAGATTTTTAATGACAGCTATTTTCATGTAATTAATTGTAATCAATTTCACTGTTCTAATAAATTACATATTATTATGGTGGACATAATTAGCAATTGTTTGTTAACAGATTCAAATACAGTTTTAATGTCATCGCGATTATTCTAATTCTCATCAAATCCACTGGTCACATTTTTTGAATTCTGACACCAAAAAAATTGTATATCCGAAAACTGGTACTTTTAAGAAATGGTAGTATGATATTAAACATATAGATTCAAAAATATGTACATCTCGAGTAATTTTCGTACTGCTTGGAATTGGACGATCCGGGTATTTTGCGCTGAAAGTGAACAACGCATTTACTTAACATTTCTAGAATAGAACCACTTTACCGTTTTTTACCTATGCTGCAGTTGAATACATTTTGTAGATAATAAAACTTAATAATTACTTATAGTAATATTCCACTATGCAGATAATTTTGACTTGCAAATGGTGGTGTAAAAGATTTTATTGTTTTAAATGGTCCATTTGGGTCCAAATAACATGTATTTGAAGAGTGCACACAAATTTTTTTCCGGACCAACTTTTGCAGCCAAAAAAACCTTAATGTTCGGTATTTTTTCAGATTTTCGCTTAAACCTCGAAAACGGTCCATATGTTATGAATAACACTTCTTTATAGTAAATTAAAGAAAACAACATTCTGCGTCGATAAAAAAAAAAACAAACAAAATCGGTCCAATAAAAAATTTTTTGGCTGCCAAAAGTTGTGTGTGCACTCTTCAAATCATGTTATTTGGACCCAAATGGACAATTTAAAACGAAAAAATCGTTTACCCCAAAACGTCAAAATAATGGAAAATGTAGGCGCTTTTGTTTGATTTCACAATTCCATGGCATTACCGACTTTCTAAACGCCACAGTTTTTAATTTTTCGGTTTCTCATTTTATAAAATAGAAAACAAAATAACTCTCGCCAGGAAAGATTGCCGGTCACAGCACACCTTGTGTTGATCTGAAATCTATGTTTTTCTTAAGATGCGAGCGACTTCCGGAATAGGATGGGCCAATGTTGAACGAAAGGTCTTTTTGTTCAACATTAACACGATACTATCCCGGAAGTCGCTCACATCTTTAGAAAAACATAGATTGTAGACCAGGATCAAGTGTTTTGTGACCGTCAATCTTTCCTGGCGAGAGGTTTACCTATGGTATGTACGGATATACTTTGTTTCTAAAATTATTAGGGAATCCAATAATCGGAAATTAAAAAATTACTATTGAAGATATAGATAAGTGTTTTATTTAAAAGTATGACAGATGAACTAATTTATTTGCTTACTTATGTACCTAGATCCTGATAAAGCCATATTTCCAACCTTCAAAATAAATTATACAATATGTACAAAAACCAACATGTATTATCGTATCGGAGTATATTACCATAACTTTTAACTCGAAAACAGTGCAATATAGCAAAGACCCAAAGCAAGTAATCTAACCCAAAACTACAGTGTTGATACAGATATACACATGTGTTTTTCATTAAATAATTGTATACTCTTAGAGATAATATTACAGCGTTAAACGGACAATGCCCAATAATGTTTATGACAATACCGTCAAACAAAATGATCGCAACCTATATTAAAGGTATATGGTATATGGTGACAACCCTTTACTGTTTTTCTCATTATTGCCCTTAGGTTTTTAATAACCAAGTACATTCATATCTATAAACATCCAATTTACTACTGATTGGATACAGCATCTATGTATCCACAAACGGCAAGGCATTATAAGCATGATGCCACAAAAATTTATGCATGTATTATCTGTACTCAATAAGCCCGTTTTGACTAAAATATTTTCAAATGTATACGACCTTTAGTTGTATACTGGAGGTTTGACTCGCATGGATGCCCTAATTTTTTCTCACTTTCTCAATTTACGCAAAATTGCGAGTAATTCACTTATAAATTTCCTTTTATAAAGCAAATAAGACATTTTTTCAGGGTTTAAGTCAATAAGACTTTACTTATATAATATGTAACAATTGCAATTGTTACCAAATGTATACCGTGTGCTCTGGAGTTCACGGTAATTTTCGCAGATGTTTAATTGAGAAACCTTAATTTTTTGAATGAACCCCCTTTTTTCTGTTCGACAATGGATTGAACACAGAAAATTGAGGGTAGTATCTACAATAGCTGCACAAATTCGCCGAGCTCTTCCGTTTCTACAAAATTTGTTCGTTTTAGGTATCGGGATGTAGGTACATAATTGAAAACTCATAGTTTTCTGTACGAAATCCATTGCTGAACAAGAAAAATGGTTTTTCAGTTAAAGAAATGAAGCCATCGCATTTTTTATAACTGCAAACAGTATTAGGTATAAACAAAGAACAGTTACTCATGGTTAAAAAGGGATTTATTATCTAAATGAGTATATTTCCTAAAAATTTCGAAAAAACGCACAAATCATTGAAAAAAAAATGATAGTAAAAGAGAAAAGGGTATATAATTATAAAACTAACACCGATAATCTAACTTTTTTCAAGTACCTACCTACAGATGTTGTTTTCATCATTGCAATTACTGCAAAGGATATCAACTCTATTGATAGCAACTTTTTATAAGGTACCTAATGCCTCTTAGAAAAACAAATAAAATATGATAGTCTATGTCGGGAAGGTGTTAATGGCCCTAAATGCAGAGGAGCATGTCACAAAAAACATCGTAATCTCCAGCAATGCAATTAAAGACCTTTTCACTTTCACTAATTGTGCAGTAATTAATAGCTTCCAAATCGTAATCACGTTTATTGTTAGTATTTGGTATAAATAGGCGGCCTAAATTACTTTAATTCATTCAGTTCTTCATAGTCTGACCGGTACGTACCTGCCTATAAAATTGTAAATTGTGTGGAATTGGAGCCTGGAGGAACGAACGATGCTTGTCATTAATAACGTAAGTACTATTATACACTTTCTTAATATGTTGTTTTTACGTCTTGTGTAATTTACCACACACTAAATAACCCCCTGTTTTATATCTAACTCATGGTTTATTTTGTTTCAGAACGAAGTGACCTTGTTGGGAGATTCTAACCTCAGGAGACTGGCCACTGCCCAGTTGGGCCGAAGAGCCTCGACCTATACCTCTGTAAGTTCCAACCGCAGAAGGGTTTTTGTCGAGCTGGCCATAGGTGGTCAAACGATTGGCCAGCTCCGGAAGAGAGTCCTTCGAATCCTGCGGCAGGGCGAGGAGTATAGGTACCAGCTGGGCCGAGAGGTGATCGTGCTGATTGGCGGAAATGATATACGCAGGGTAAGTACATATCTGCTGTTGTATATAAACATTTATAAACGGGGTTCTTTTTGATTACAGAATGCAAAAATCCGCAGCATTCGCGTAGGGATGCACAGGTTGTTGCAAGATTTGAAAAGGTGCAAGATTCGAGTCAATCTGTGCACTTACCCCACTATAAAACTCCCTCCACTGCAGCAAGACGTTGCTATCCAATTCAACGAGTTTTTAAGGAGTGTGGCGAATAAAAATGGTAAGTTAATGAATATGATTAATATTTTTGTGTATTTATTTCATTTTTGCTTTGCAGTTCACATAAGACTCATCGATATTGCTGTGGTGGTGGGAGACCAAGAGCAGTACTTTGAAGAGTAAGTACACCAGGATTGTATTAAATCATTTGTTTTAAATGCAATTTTTTTGTTACAGGGACGGAATTCACCTTAATATGGCGGGCTTAACTTTATTTAATTGTTTATTGTAAATACGCACATATTGTAAAAATTGGTGATGGGTAGTTTTAGTTATTATTATTGTAGTATAGGTATTGTTAATTGGTGATGGTGGTGTATATGTGTAAATAAACGTATTTTATAACATTGTATATATTGTATTATTGTACTATATGTTTGTAACAAAATAAAAACAAAAAACACATTTGTACCTATAGGTATTTTTCATCGTGCATAAAGGTGACACCAAATTCTCTCATTGACTTATAAGCAGTTATATGCACTCGTTCAATTTTCAGAAAGTCGTGCTATCACCGATAATAATTGTACGACTAGACCACCAGAATGTATTATCCTAAAGTTTTGTTTTTTAACCCAAGTAAGAATGGAAAGTGGATATACGAAAGCTGATAGCAACAATCTGCCAAAAATTGATGTTGGGAATGTTTCTTGCATCAAACAAAGATTTTTGCTCATAAGCAAAGCCCTAACACATTTAAATGTTCGGATACGTTCTACAACAATCCGATTCTCCACCCTGACATGATTTTCTTTTTGGGATATGTTTGTTTGTTTCCTAATAGCGCGGGGAAGCTTCAGTTTTTGTAACAACTTAGAAATTATATTTGTGTTTTTTATTTTTGCGGGTTGTGGATCAATACCACAGTTGGCGGTTAGGGCCAATGAGGAATGAGCTTATGCCCACCCGCTTTGGTGGTGGCCTTTAGAGCTCTAAACATCTACATCTACATTACTTATAGTAAACAATAATTATTTGGATTGGACAACTCATATAATCACGATCAATTTTCACAGGTTCAATTGATCGTTAAATTATGCAGGAACTCACTGGCAAATAGATTCGCAACTTGTTAAAATCCACCTAGATGTTTAAGTATATCAGCGACTTCGTAATCGTAAAGTACTTCCCGATTCCTTTCTGCACAGCTTCCATCCGTCCCCAAGCGAGAGGAAGAGCTCACGAACGGGTACCTCGTCGTACCTATACTAATAGTAAGTTATTACAGTAAATCTTAAATTATTTCTCTAAAATGTGGTAAATTTAATCCCTTTATGGCTTAACATAGGGTCGGCCTCAGATTCTCAAAGGGATACAGGTTGGAATTAATCGCGGCAAACCTTGCCTGTTTGATAAATAGAATTTGAAGATTAAAGCAGGGTAAGTAGGTAGTTACGAATTTATATTTTATATCGATTATTTTCATAAATTAATTAGTAACGAAGTGGATGATCCATATTTTTATATTTGATAATTAAGAAATCTTTGTCTTTCCCAAATATATTTTTCGTACTTCCGAGACTAAAGTGACAACTTCACTCCATTATGACAAGTACTGAAGTGTCACTTTTTGTCCCACCGCGGGATTAAATTTGGACGAAAATCCCGGAAGGATTAAATTACTAACAAGGCAATTTCAGTAGGTTATTCCACATTTTGAATGCGGCACCACTTTTTAAACGCATTGTACTGCTGCTGATATAGTTTTTTGGATTTCGGTGGTATTAATTCTTTACCTAGTTTGGCTGCTTTTTATCAATATCAAATACACCTTTGTCACCCATCGCCAAAATTATGACACTAGCAATGACAGTTTCCAAATTATTTTAGTTACCATAGCATAGGGATTGTCGTACCAACGCAACGTTCCTATGGTAACTTGTTAAGCAGCGATTTTTTGAAAGAACGCGTTCTATAACTCCATATATATTAAGTGTTTCAGTTTCGGAAGTACAAAAAATATCGTATATACCTTGCGACTGAAGTAGTGGTCTTAAAGGTTGATTCTCACGTTTCCATACCATATCCTTTCCATAAGCATTCCAAATTATTATACCTATGAAATTGACCAGTGATATGTGCGTAAGACATTCAGCCGTACGCTAATACACATTCGCCTTCCATATGTGAACGGAAGAGAAAATAAATCTCTTATTAGGCTTCTTAAACTGTTACGAGCACTATACCGCAATTGACAATATCAACGTTTCCTTCAGTTGAATACATCACACACGAACGAGAATAAACATACGGAAGCCAAAACGACAATATTCGGAATGGCAAATGAAGTTGTCTGAATTACACACGACTGAAGAGAAAGTATTGATGAATAAAAATAGTATTATCAAGGAAATAGTTATCGACAGATATCAGACATGTTTGCTGCTCAGTAGGTAGGTACCTGAACAGACCGATACCCACAAAATCAATAGTTGATAGAATTATCAAAAAAATGCGGATTTTAATGCTATTCAAATACCCTAAATAGATTTTCCTCCAAAATAATTAGGGAAGCCAATAATTAACCTCCTTTAAATTTCCATGGAATTTCATATGTCCCGCCTGTCGATGCAACGCGCTGTATGTTCCGTTGTTCCGGAAAACCACAAAAGTGTCCTGTTTTTTCGACACATAGATAGTAAAAAAATGCGGTGTAGGGATGGAAATCAAAAATATTGCAACACACAATCACACATGAACTGAGATGCTTCAAAAAATAAAACCATGATTCTACAAAATTGTTTCCCGTTTTAGCGTTGAGTGAATGATGATGATTCTCAATGGTCTAGGACGTTCTCTGCATACGACTAGGGAAGCGCTTCAATAGAAATTATATGAGTCGAATAGCGTGTAGAGGTGTGGGATTTAGTATAAAATTTTGAGTAAATTGTATTGTTAGGTACCACAGTAAAGATAAAGGACACATCTATGCCTCTATTGTAACAGATTCTTGATTTAATCCAATTTTGCATAAATAATTGTAGAAGTAAGTAAGTACTTGATATTTATGGTATTTTCGGGTGCCGTAGTTATTAATATTTACAAAATATCAAAAATCTGTTACAAGAGAAAGTACCTAAGTATAGAAAAAAGTTTTAGAATCCAACGTGACTGTGATGATGTTACTAACTAACACTGTTTTTGCAAAAATTGCTAAGAGCTGAACCAAAATGCGTAACTATATTTCATGTGCGTACGACGGCCTCTTAACACAGGGAGTAGGGCTTCCAAGTTAAAATTTTTGAGTTTAGAGACCAACCGGGGATATAATGGGATATAATCGTTGAATATTTGAAATTGAATATTAACATTAAATGACTGCAATTTTGGTGGTAAAAATGTAGTAGTACAACCTAAACATAGGAAATCAAGCTTCAACCAAAGAGGAACTTCAACCTTCAAGGCTAATAAGAATATGAAAACGGGCCAACTCTTTCTTACTCAGCATTTTAGATATACAGGGTGACACCCGTTTCTTGGAATTTAGCGACCAAATCTTGATCATAGGCATGGCTTACATTTATTTCTCCCGGGATGACTATCATTAAACGTTCTAGCTGTTCTAAAAGATGATCGATTTTCGGAGCCGCATAAATGAATATTATTTCCACACGTTCAGCTGTAGGTACTGTAAGTCAATAAAAAAGAAAGCAACCAAGATTGCTTAATGAAACAGTTCAGGTTGAAGTTCTTGGCCAATTTGCCATAAATCCCTCAATGTCAACATTTAGTTTTTTTTGTTAATTATTACATTTTTGTTGTTAAATTGTCTTAATGAATATCGACTTTATTGGTACCACTGGAAAGTATTTTTCAGTAGCTTTCCAAGGATGTGTCACAAGTATAGGGTTATACCATTTAGGATTTTGAAGAGGGGGGGGGGGGGCTGGGGGGTTAATGGGGGGGTGTTGTTACTCATAACGTCATTCTGGTTCCCCCTCGATATCCCCGAAACGGTTTTGCGCGATTTTAAATACCTTCTTTACTTTGGAAAATATGGCCGATTGCAAGTTTTAAAATTGACACCCCGTAGGTACTCGTAATTCTGACTTGACTTCAAATGAAATTTAATATTAATTTTCCCCTTGAACAAAAAGACGACATTCTGGCGTCACTATTCATTGTTTTAAAATGTTGCAATGTAATTAAGTGAATCTAGTTGAAAACGTAAGTGTATTAAATTCAAACTTTCATTCAACTTCAACAATTAAGATAGGGATAGTAAAATTTAATTACATTCAATTAGAAAATTTCCCTTCGCCATTATATTTGGAAGATTTGAATAGGATTTAGATCGATTAAACTAATTACAGGAAATAGGTACATAATGAATCGCTTAACCCTAATGACGATGAGAGCAATTAGTCTTCCAAAGAAGGTGTATTGGAACATGAATGAAAGAATTTGTTTATTATACTCGAAGTCTTCAGTCGTGTAGTGTGTGGTATCAGAGCTTACAGAGTGTTTTAAAGAAATTTTTTTTCCGAAAGAGTGAGTAGTATCACTACTTTGTTAAGTACTGCTACCTATATCATATCACGTGAGTAGAATTTTTGTACTAGATAATTTTTTTAAATCTAAAATGCCTTTTCAAAAGCAAACCAGTAATTTAAATAGAAGTGTTTTAATAAATTGTATAGTGGAGTCTTTCAAATCAGAGGAAGATATACAATTTCATTTAGGTAACCCCAGTTGTAGAATATTTATTGATAAATTGTTAAACTCAAACGCTATACCCCGCAATTCGAAGATCAACAAAATTCACCGCCGTCAATTTATTTATAATTTGTTACAAAAGGTGGAACGTATTTGGGAACATGATGTAAATGTTAAGTATGAGGTTCGTTCACGTTATAAAATTACCCACTTATCTACAAGGGAAAACATATGTAATGTGCTACATACTGATTTATTTCCTGATCAATCTTTCAATGAGATACATACTCAACTTCCTGATACACCTATTTCCGATAACTTTCAATTATCTGTTCCTAAATCTAGTAACTACGTTCAAGAAATGAATACATCAGCTCCTTGTGTTTCAATTCGTGAAAAGGACGATGTAATTAATGAATATGATCATATTTATATACCTCCTTTAAAAAAATCTTTTCCCAAAAAAACAGGAGTTTTAACAGAAGATACTAAAATATCGTTGAACAAATCAAACTCCCACCACACAGATGAGATTGTAATACCTTTCGCAATATGGACCACAATGTACGATTGTAAAGATGGTGTAATGAAGAAGGGATGGACCGACGAAATAAATAAATTTTTTGAAAAAATATATCCTCTATGTGTGTTATCTTTTAAGTACCATAAAA